GATCGACTACAGCATCAGTCCATCATGAGCACACTGCGTGATCAGTTGAATACGCACAAGTCTAAGCTCATGTAGTGTAGTCTACAGCACGTTACTGAAGAAATTACAGCAAAGTACTGGCAATCCTGCTGCATAGTGTAATTTTACTTAAAAGTTAAAATATGAAATAAAATTACAGTAAGTTACTGTAAAATTACTTAGTATTTTACTGTTACTTAGTAATTTACAGTAAGTTACTTTAAAATTACTGTAATTTACTGTAAAATTACTGTAATTTACTTTTTTGAAGGTCGCAGCGTTGTCATAGCAACCAAATAGGCCATTCCGTAACTGGCAGTAAGTTACTGTAAAATTACTGTAATTTACAGTAACTTACTGCTAGTTTACAGTAAATTACAGTAATTTTATTTCATATTAATTTTGAGTACTTGTCTACTGTAATTCACTGTAATTTTAATTTACAGTAACTGTAGGTTATATCTACAGTAAGTTACCATCAATTTTTACTCAAAGTATCTGCCTGTAAACTTTCCTACAGTAAATCACTGCATTTCTTAGAGTAAATTGCTGTTACCGTAGGTTCTTCAAATACTAACAGTAAATTACAGTAATTTTTGTCTTTAAGGATTGTAAATTTGTTTTACAGAAATCTATTGTAGTTTCATTTACCGCAAATGAATGTTAATTTCACTTATGTAGTAACATTCATAGCCGTGAAATCAAATGTTTTTTTGCTGAAGGTTTCGCATACAGTCATCATCAGGAGGCTCGTGACAACTGGTTATATTTGATGAATTTATGTTTTTCTTTCGATTTTCTTTTGTATTTTTTGTCCTTTATCTTTTTTTTTATTATTCATTTATCATTTAAATAACTTTTAATCTGTCAATGCTGTACATAAAAAGTTATGTGTACGTATGCATATTAAAGGTATTGTTTTCCGCTCTTCTTTCTTGCAGTATGCCATGGATTACTGCTGAAGTCACACAGTGTGCATGCTGAAACACTAATCAGACGGATGCTCTACATGGACATCATATACCCACGTACGTTTGTAAGCTATGTAATCATTCTTCTGGATCATTGAAGCGGTTTTCTGAACACTTTTCAGTCCATAGAAATGTGGTGAATTTCGATTTCCCGTGTGGTGTTCCTGGCTGCAATCGAACATTCAGAAATTATTCATCCTTCAAAACCCATGTGCATAGGGATCATCAACCATTTTCAAGAAAAAAAGATGCCCAGTTTTTCTGCGTTTCTACCTGGAATTGTCCACTCTGTGCTGTAAAATGTGAGGAAATCCATGACATACTTTCTCATCTTAGAGTTCATATCAAACACGGAGTTGAAATACGCTGTCCTTTTGCCAATTGCAAAAAACGTTTTTCAGTGAGGTCGTCTTTTGCGTCACATATATCAAGAGTTCACAATAAGTTAGACCAGATTCAGTTAGACTCAACTTCAAGTGAAACTGGTACTGTGTTAACTGAATCCGCCCAAGAAAATAATCAGGAGTTTCCTGGAAGACTGCACTCAAGTGACGAGGAAAGTGTGACAGATGATGAAGTAGATGTATCCGCTGACTAATTCAAACACAGCTTATCCTTGTTTTATCTGAAGTTGGAGGCAAAATTACTACTGCCCAACTCTACAATTCAGGAAATAATTGACACAGTTCAGGATATTCATGCATTAAGCCAACAAAATTTGATACCAAAATTAAAAAAGAAACTTGAAGGAATAGGAATTACCGATGATGAGGTTACCAACGTTTTAACTTTATTTAAATCTGAGGATTTGTTCAGTGCTTCAAATTGTAAAGAATTTCGATCAGAGTCTACAAGAAAATCACATTTTAAAGCAGTTTTTGATTATGTTTCCCCAACTGAGATATATTTAGGAGAAGATCAGTTTGGCAAACAGCGATTTTGCCAATACATTAAAATTCAAGACACACTAAGAGCATTATTCAAGCAGAACTCATTTATCAAAGATTACAAAGAGACTCATAAAGCTCAACCTGCTTTACAAAGGACCATTCTACGTGATGTTTATGATGGCAGAGCATTCCCAAAAGATAAGCCTTTGCATAAAAACTCAGCAGTAACACTCATATTGTACCAAGATTCTTTCGAAGTAGTAAATCCACTAGGCAGTGGGAAAAAAAAACATAAAATTCTAGCTGTGTATGCTACCCTCGCTGATATACAGCCCTACAATAGATCAAACATTGATCATATGCAATTGGTGTTGCTCTGCAACGAACAGGATTATAAGGAATTTGGAGCCAGCGCTGTTTTTAGTCGTCTCATCAGTGACCTTCAGTCATTAGAAGATAGTGGTATTATTCTGGATGACGAAACATGTGTTAAAGGTACACTACTCGCAATCGCAGGAGACAATTTGGGGTCTCATAACATTGGAGATTTTACCGAGAACTTTAGCACAAGCCATTTTTTTTGTCGCTATTGCATTATTCGGAGGGACTCTTTTCGAGAGAACCCACTTGCAACAGGTAGTATCAGAACAGAGGAGAACTATAAACAAGCACTACATCCTACCAATACTGACGAAAATGTGATTGACGGTGTCAAGTTTGATTCCATTTTCAATAAAGTGACAAACTTTCATGTCTGCAAGCCAGGTTTACCACCTTGCCTGGGTCACGATCTTTTCGAAGGAATTGTTTCTGTAGACTTGTCATTGTTCATCTGTAACCTTGTCAAGGTGAAGAAATACTTCACCTATGAACAACTGAACAGGTCAATAACTCAGTTCACTTATCTTGGAAGTGATGTCAACAACAAACCTTGCACAGTAAATGTGAATGGAAAAAAGTTAGGAGGTCATGCAGTCCAGAACTGGTGCCTGTTGAGATTACTTCCTGTGATAGTTGGCAACAGAATAAAGAATCCTGTAGAAGACAACGTATGGCAGCTTTGTTTGAAACTTCGAGAAATTGTTGAGCTGATATGTGCATCAGTAATATCTACTAACCAAATAGCTTATCTCCAGGTTCTTATTGAAGAATACATCAGCGATGTGTGTGATATATTTCCAGAATACTCGCTGAAACCAAAGCACCACTTCGTTTTGCATTACCCATGGCTCATATCTCAGTTTGGACCGTTGATTCGTCTTTGGACGCTACGGTTTGAAAGCAAGCACACTTTCTTTAAACAATGTTGCAGGAAACTTCAGAATTTCAAGAATGTGTGCAAGACACTTGCTCACAAGCATCAGCTATTACAGGCTTACCTTGGTGCAGGTTTCTTGTTCCCTCCCACTTTGATAGTAGAGAAGAGTTTGCCATTTGCAGCAAATGCATGTCATGAGAAGATAAAGACTTGTATCTCAAATTGTAGTTTCTACAGCAAAGAGATGGATGTACATGTAGCACACAGGGTAACATATAAAGGCACAACCTACAAAAAGGGCATGTTTGTTGTTCTTGGTCGATCTGAAGATGAACTTGTTGTTGGTCAAATTGAACTTGCTTTAATTCATATGGATTCCCTGTACTTTGTTACACAGGTGCATAATGCAGTGCGCCTAATAGACTTGGGCGTTTATGATCTTGTTGACAATCCTGGTAGCGACAGTGACCGAGAATTCAGATGTGTGGCTGTAGAGAAATTATTAGACTTCTACCCATTGCCAATGTATAGTGCTTTTGGATGTTGCTTAATACCATTACACCATGCTGTTGTAGATGAATAACATTTTACAAGCAACTCTACCAGCTAGTATGCAGCTCACTCGTCAAATATGTGTATTTGAGAAGATATTCTGAATATTTACATAGAGCCTACTTCTACATGTCATCAAAACATGTTCATGTACATATACCTTTAATAAATGTTTGATTGTTGGATGATTGCAGACACTTTTGCACATCTTCGAAAGGGATCATGGAAAACATAAGGAAGGAAGTCAAGTCTGTGCTACCAATGTTATCAGAGCCACTGCTGGATGCTATCCAGTTTGTACAGGAAGATGATATTGTAGATCTGATAAAGCCGATCCATTGCCGTAGGCTCCTTTGTACCTGGAAAGAGACCGGTATGTCGTTTACATGTAAATTAAAAAGTGTATACAAAAAAGAACATTTCCATCGAATATGTTTTTTCCCCCCTCTCTTCCATTTGGTACATGTATGACATAAAAAAAAGAGAACATTTCTGCTCTGTATATCACTAAAATTAGATGTATGTGTCAGTTTTTACTTCAAGCAGCTTCATATGGTTCTTCTTTCAGCCTACATGTATAATTTAGACCTTAAAAGCTTATTTCTTTCATAATGATAATGATGATAAATCATTTCACTGGCACACAGAACTTTATCCATGGCAATCTTCAAAATTATCTTAGGGGTATAAAAGTGATAAAGTATATGGTGTAAAAATTATACAATTTTGCTTTGTTACCAACTATTATGCTAACTTTAGAGCCTTGCCACGGCACAATGACACAGACACAACAAATTCTCGCCTGGTGTTTCATAAATTTCAGTATTCTAGTAATTTTAAGCGCGGGCTGGGGCAGAAACATTTCTCTGTTGTTCCATATTTATAAACGAGTTTTGATGCATTCTAATATTCTTCTGTACAAAATATTTACTTTATTTTCTAGAAATCAATCCAGATACAGTTACTACGCAATCTCGCAGCATTGGAGATGCATCGCCATCAGGTAGCAAAAGGCATGGTACAACCACAAGTAACTGGCCAGAAACAATTGATATCAGCGGAATAGACATGCCGGATCATATTGCAGTTAAACTCGAGGCTGGAGAGCGTCTTTCGCCTACTGAAAGGAGCAATGCAATTCGAGGTTTTGTAAGTTTGATGATGAAACATGACCATAATCCGATAAGATCCAAATGTGATATTGTTGCCAGGAGAATTGTAAGCGAATGGCCACAGAGCTTTTGTGACATGAATGAAGACAGAAGCAAGCTTGGTTCCGGTCATTATTCCCTTCTTGCCCAAATGAAAATGCGTGTAGAGCATGTAAATAGGAACAACACACTGACTCGGCATAGGACCAGTAGAAAGCCAAAAGAAGGAAGCAACAAAGTCACTAAACCTACGGACGTATACGGATGCATCAAATGGCAACCCTCTCTTCCAAAGGGAGAAACGTTGGAGTCTCTCGGTGAAAAAAAAGAGTCGCTGAAAGACATTTACACGCAAAGAGGCCCAGAAGAATCGTCTACAGGTGAAATTGACATTTTGATGGATCACACTTATTACCTGCAGAGAAAAATGATAAATGGAGCTCCACTTCCAGTTAGTGAGCTAAAAGAGCAGTGGCCTTATTTATTTGTTCCAGAGTTCTTCCAGAAGCACTTCAAAACTCTAACAGGTATCGATATCGCCACATCACTGCTAAAGTCACTTCAAGAGAAGGGGCTAACTATTCTCCGCTTTCTTGCAAAGGAGAAGTGGGAAGATCACAACAAAGTTCGGCCACTTATTCATCAGGTCGTGGCTGAAAAGGACGCTGTCGATATGCACACTGTTGCTGGTGCAGTTATTAAGGGGATGATGAGCTACTTCAAAGAAAAAGAAGACTCGCTTATCCTGAATGGAGATGTAAGATTTCAAATGTTGCATTTCAGTATTATTTTGTAACTTACTGTACTTTATAAATCTTAAAGGGAAAATTTACTTACAAAGTTGTGAGAGCTCAGCACATGCAGAATAATGAAACAAACAAAATGACATGAGTGTGAGCACAATCGCACCATCCTGTGGAGAGTTACTGTGACACCATTAATTCTAACGGGCCATTAACTAGGCAACTCTGTTTCTAAATGTGTATAATTAATATAAACCCAGAACAACTCTCAATATGGGTAGAGTACATAAATTTCACTAATTTCCTTACCCTGAGAGATCAGTTATTTGTGTGACCTTGACCTTTCATGAAAGCATGCAGAATAAATAACGTCCTAATATTAACTTAGTAACAAACACGTACATGTATACTTATGTTTTTGGTATGTAGTGTACAGGGCCTACATGTATGTGGAGATGCTCTATTGTGACATCACAGATTCTGGTAGAGTTGTTAATTTGAGAAAAACCTGGGTCCATTCATGCCATAGGATTTTAATGGTTACGAACTTAAACTTTGGAAAATCATAGCTCTACACTGGATAATCGGAATTTGCACAAATGTTTTGTCTTTTGTTGAATTTTTTTCTGCATTCAATAAACTTCCCAAAATTTGTAAAGAAACCTCGACCCCCTTTAATGAACTGAATGGAGAAGTCGCTGAATTTAAATGTTACTAAAATTACTTTAATTTCTCACACCATTTATTATGAAACCATTAATGTTTGTGCTTAACACCTGATGCTTTTAATATCAAATCTGAGAGGACATTGCATAATCATTTTGAAACCTGAAGATAGACAGGGATATATATGTCAAAATTAAATAATTTGAGGTGAAACGCCTATGTGATGATTATCATCGCTTGATATAAATGTTCTTACTTTTTTGTCTATATTTTTAGGTGACTGCTACTCCTGAGGAGATTGAGGAGGAGACTCGTGACCACTCTGAATCGCCATATCTCGTCATCCAAGGTGCAGTTTGATTTCCAAACACACATCTTTAATAAATTGCTCACATGTATAAGTTTCCTGCGTTGAAGGTCATGCATTGTAATCGCCATGCAAAGGTCTTGAAATTTATATCAAGCTTGGTCTACAAAGTATGGTGATCAAGCTTGTCTCTTTTCTCATAATTTGCCCTTGCTCGTGCTCAGATAGGACTTTATCATTATTGATGTATATGGTCACCACCCTTCAAGGATTTAGAGGGAGAAATTCCACTGCCTTTTTTCATCAAAGTCAGAAAATTACCACAAAGATACACAAACATTCACATGCACACATACACATTCAAAAAGCGACTTGTAAATTTCCTCTCTTTTTGTGTGTGTAGGGGATGACACTACAGCAAAGTGGATGGTGGTCGTCGAAAAGAAAGTCATCGGGAAGTCAACACAAGCAGATGGTGTGATATGTGGAGTAGCCTATTTGCTGTGCACGTACTACAATCTCAATCTGCAATATCAGTCAAATGCATCGACGACATTGGAGTTCATTCAGCGGTAATTGCATGGTGAACTAACTGGTTAACTAATGTAGTCAAATTTATATATGCTTCTTCCACTTGCATTGGTCAGGTACAGATTATTCAGTAAATCTGTATCTGAAAATTAGGTAAATCTTGGGCAAGCTTTCTGGTTGTCATGAACAACCTTTGTGATAGAAGTAAGCAGTAAAGCATAAAATTTGAATATGTTAGTAAACCTGTCTATTATAAGCAAGAATATGCAGAAGTACCTTCATGAATTTGTGATACAGTCGCATTCATCCATTACATATATCCTTACAATAATTTGGCTAATCTTATGTGTATGTTCGCCTGAACATTTTCAGAAAAGACATGCATGATCTTGTTGCAAAATTTCAGCTTAATGTTCTCTAGATGGTCCTTTTGAAGGGGTTAAGAATTGTTGTAGTTGCTGTTCAGAATCGATACCATAATATGGGATGAATAGGGACTTGGGGGAGGGGGGGGGGGGTTGAATAGGGACAGATTCTGGAAAAACACTTTTTTGTGTTATATTTCAAAAAGTAATATTTAATGCTGGATTGTTACATTCCTTGGCTTGTTATAAAAGGTCGGATAAGTGGCGAGTAAGTTTCTGGTAAATTCCGCGTGCATGACTGAAACTACAGTAGCTTGCGAATTTTTCCTTTGGTGTCTTTCAAAAACATAATGTAACTTGTGCCACGAAGGGCGGCTCGGCACACTTACTGGCAGGCACTGCATGCATGCACTGTGCTGTCCAGATCAGAGCGCTGCCATGGCCCGGGGGCCAGAGAGTTGAGTGGAGACAGATACAGATCTCGGCTGAGTTGAGCTGAGCTACGCACTAGACAACACTACAGAGAAGTACACTACAGAATGCATCTGGGTGAAAAATAAATATAAGAATGCGCAATATTCTTTGGAGTCCGGTTCCAATTACATGGCCAGTACTGATGGTGGACAGCAGATGATGTATGCATGTCCAAAATATGCACGCGTGCACATAAAGCTTGTCATGGCCCTGGCCCGCTGTGTACACATTAGTGTATAAATGTGGGTTTTATTATCATTATTTGTTGAAAGACACCATAGGAAGAATTGGCTTGCTAACATCAGACATGCATGCGCACTGAATTTACCCTCAACTCACCCTCAACTTACCCGGCCTTTTATAACAAGTCCATTTTTTTTGGGTATAGACATCTACATCAAACATGATAAAATAGAACAATTGATTTAACTGCTCTTGTGTAACATTAGAAGAAAACACACTGTCACAAAAGTAAAGAAAAGGCGTGAAATCAATTATTTTCATACGTTTTTCTTTCCAACAGTTGCTTGATTGGCATCAATCCAGACGCGGGATCAAAGTCTCATGGACAACAATGTAGCCAGAAGGTGATATCATTTATTCGCAAATTAGCGGATTTCCAGTGGTTTCATTAATAAGGGGGCAACTTTATGCCATCCGTGGATGACCCTCGTGCAGTCGTTCGGAAAAGTAGTCCATCCTAGTGAGATTTGTCATGGGCCATGGAATCCACTCATATAGGGGTACTTTTTATATCGCAACATGTCTGTTGTTCTGGAAAAAAAGGGGTTTTCCCCTCTAGGTACTTTACTGATGGGGATAGATCAGGGTAAATTTCCCGATCACAGAATACCTGGTATTCTCGAACTTCCAGTCAGTCTGAATACGCCTTAAGATATATATACTGGAAATGTCATTTCTTGCAAAATTTATAACATGTTCTGTATAATTATAAGAAGTGTATCTTAGTACAGACTAACATTCAGAACAAATTACAGGGGCGCCTACATACTACATCAATTTCAAAATTATCAATAAAAAAAAATCCCACTTACATTGAGTATCTGAACCCTTTACTTTCACACACTTTCTTAAAATTTTATTTGTGTCTTTTTGCCCTTTTTAGACATTTGCAAATGTTATGCTTGCAAAAGGGATCATGTACCTTTAATATGCATTTCAATTGAACTTAATATGAAACATCACAAGTGAAAATTGAAATTTGAAATCAAATATTTTGTTAGTGAGGGAGGTTAAAAAAGTGACGTGACTTCGTGGTATTAAGGAAGCCGTGTGTTTAGCCTTGATGCAAAGAGACCAACTACAGGGAGCCCAAACTTTTTTAATAAATTGTGTCTAGCGGTCATTGAACTTCCTAGACAAAGCATTAGCACATGTATTCTGTGAGCCTGGCATGTGTGCAGCCTTGTCATCATAAGCATTGCTTGATTGTTTACTTACTGTTTTCCAAAATATGTTTTACATTACTTGCAATTTAGCATTATTTTACCTTAGTGAATTTTCATATATTTTAGTCTGTACATGCAATACACCTTTATTTTAATAAATTTAATAAGTCATGAAATAAATGAATTTGCCAAATATTAGGCCTATATTTAAGTAACCTATATTTTATTTCGACATATTTCAAGTTATATAATAATATATTTTTTTTAAGTAACTTATATTTTATTACGATATATGTTACGTTATATGGTAATATGTTTTTTTATCATATTTAATACGTAGCAATATTGTAGCTAAACGAATTTCATAATTTTATGTTTTCATTTTACATGTACACAAATTGATCATATTTTCTATTTTCTTTGTTCATTGTGCACATTGGTAATTCTATTTCATTAATTTCTGTATATCATGTATATTTTCTTATTGTCAAGTATGTTTTACGGTTTTTGTTATTTTGCACAGCCCCTTTGTAAACCAGCCGAGTAGCTGAATAGGGCTTTTACCGTCAATAAATCAATCAATCAATTGAATGACAGCTCATGAAGTTGAAACAAGTTTCTGTGCAGAATTGGCATGTAAATGAGACAAAAATACAGAAGAATATGAAACACGTATTAAAGATTACAAGTTTAATATAACAGAGCAACTCAAATTAAATGGGGTATTAGTTCAAAAGATAAATTAAACAAAAATAAAGTGAGTAATGTCTTTTGGAGAGATTCTACCAGGTATAGAGAGTTTTCCTTGATTCTGCCAGGTATATGGAGACTTTTCATTGATTGTATTCTGATAGTAGTTGTCGTTTAATAGTGGCTTTAAAGGAAGATAAAAGTGTATAAAATATGTCTTGTTTACAATTGAAGATAATTCTTTACAATAGTTTTTTACAATTCAGAATTTTAAAGTGAACATATTGTTGTCTGTTCGACAAATAATTTTTGACCCAAGAAAGTGCAGTGCCCCTAAGCCATACGTTGTGATTTAGCATATCAATGCCTTAAAGCCGCTATGTCTGCACAATTGCATGTGTTATTCTGTCGTATAATTAAATTAATGCTAGGTCGGGTGAATGATTTTTTTTAAAGCCATATTGGTTGGGATTAAGCAAGTTATGTGTATTTCAGAATTGGTATAATCTAAACAATTTTTTCAAGAATTTTTGAGATACTGGAAGGATGACTATGGGTCTGTAGATTCTTGAGTACTTGAACTTTTGCAGTTTTTAGTGGTTTTACTTGTTTTAATGTTTTACTTGATAGTTTCTTTGCAAGCATTTTCATAATGTTACACTATTTGAGAAACTTGTTTTATGGAGCGTTGATTACCCAATAAAGACTTTAATAATGATTTTTGTGTTCAGAAAGCTTGTTTTTTCCTCAAATTAACAGGATGATGCTGCTAATGTCAAGTTAGAATACTGTACTTATTACATTAACTTAATGTAAATGAGAGAAATAGATTAAAAAAAATAACAGGATGATACTGCTAATGTCACAGTAGAATACTGTACTTAATACATTAACTTAATGTAAATGAGAGAAATAGATAACAAAATAACAGGATGATACTGCTAATGTCACAGTAGAATACTGTACTTATTACATTAACTTAATGTAAATGAGAGAAATAGATACAAAATTAACAGGATGATACTGCTAAAGTCACAGTAGAAAAGCTGTACTTATAACATTAACTTAATGTAAATGAGAGAAATAGATACAAAATTAACAGGATGATACTGCTAAAGTCACAGTAGAAAAGCTGTACTTATTACATTAACTTAATGTAAATGAGAGAAATAACATTAATTTACTGTAGAGAAAAACTTACAGTACATAACTGTAAATACATTTAAATTACTGTGAATAAAATTACATGAATTAACTGTAAGAAGAACTTACAATAAATACTGTAACCTTATACATGAAAATTTCTTTACAGTAAGCTTACAGTATTTTAATGTCTTACAGCAAGTTACTGTTGAAAAACTTACAGGAAGTTACTGTAATGTCAAAGTTACAGTAATTTACTGTGCAACAAAGTTGCCAGTAATTTACTGTAATTTCTACAGTGAAATTTTTAACAGTGTAGTCAGAGGAAATTCCACTCAACATCCCCAAATCCTAGCCAACATGATAAACTTGACAAGTCTTTGGAAGAGTATCGCATGAATTTACTGGAGCAACCTCACTACAACTACTGTGGTCTGGACCTAGCTTGTGGATTATTAATTATCAAAATTAAGTAGATTGATCCTGAGAGCAATGTCGATTTAAGCTTTGAAAGCTTCACATCCTAGTATGCTTTCCAGAGTCAAGAGATGGCTTCATTACTGTGTAATAAAAATGTGTAAAAATCGAACCAAACAGGTTGGCAGAGTGACGTCTCCAGAAGAGGAAACTATCTCAGAATCTCAGGTTAGATTTGCGTGGAGGGAGAGTAAAAAGACCAACCCGGGATGCTGCTTTACTGAAGGTCAAAGAAGTCTATGAAAAACTAAAGTGTCTTCATGGAAAAGTTTCATTTGACCAGTTTCAGGATCGTTGCCGACACCAAGGCTACGATAAGTCAATGAAGAAAAAGGGAAATTAAAACTTCGGGTTGGATTGAAGACAGCTTCACTATAATCTTGCCATTTGTTATCACTTTTCCGCCTATTTACACATGATTATGAGTTGTAAAGTAAAGGGCTTTATATGGACCTGCAGACTGACTGTAATTACATCAATTATTCTCTTTCTATCACGTTTGAGAATGCCCTTGCACTCAGTAAGGTCATTGACTGTGGACAAATAGGTGAATTGGCTACCAATTTGAGGAATGAATGAATTGGTGATGATGACAAAGCCACCACACAACAAGACGACAGTGTGTGATATGGCCAGCTGTCTGGATCGAACCAGAGAGAATGTAAGATGGCTGTCCTGTGATGTCTCTAGAAAATGGATCCACTTTACTGGTGTGGACCGTTACATTTTTTTATCTTGCCCTAGGCTAGGTATAGACACGAAGCTGGGTGGCCCTTATCACTTCAGTATCCAGACATCGACCTAGGCCTCTTCTGTGCTCAGACGTCTGATTAAGATTGATCCAACAAATCACCATGTTGCTATCGTCATTTACCCTCTCATTGCTCTCATCAAGGATCAGCTGGAAGAATGGAGGAAGTTTGATTTGAACCTATTCACTTTACCACTCACATGAATGAAAAGGAACAGCGGAACAGGTCAGTGGAAACAATGGGGTGAGAAGAAAGCCACAGTGGATGTTTGGTTGAAATACATGATTTGATTGGTCCATCTGGTCTGATGGTTCTTAAGTAAAAAGGAATTTTCATCTTTCCAACGTTTTGTTTAGGATTGTGCGGTCTATATTTGAATTTTTGCTTACGTTTTACTTTGTTATGTTGATTTTGTTATTGTTTATTTATATATCATTTTATACAATTCTTTTACTAATTTTCCTGTTTATCGTGGCTGTCCAGACAAACCCACTAGGGTTTTTATACAACAACCGAATTCCTTTTTTTTTTTACTATCAATATTGTACTATTATAATAACTCCAACCAAAATATAATAATTATGTATAAGTAGTATTTCTTCTATATTTACTTTATGTTGATGTTACTCTTTTCTATGAATAAATGCTCAATTGAACGTAGGAGGCAATATTGCCAGCAATCTAATAGACATTCTCTGACTTTGAAGATGGAAATTTTACTCTCCTATTCGTGACTCCCGAGTCAGTAGCGACCAATGCGACCCTCCAGAACAGGATCAAAAGCTTGGTGGAACACAAGCAGCTCAGCCTCGTTTACATAGACGAAGTACATTGTTTGTCAACATGGTAAGATATTAAAAAAAATATTAATTGATGCATTAATGGCACTTCCATTTGCAGACTTTGAAGCTGGACATTTTAGTCTGCTGTACGTGACTCCTGAGGCAGAAGCAACCAATGCGACTCTCCAAAACAGGATCAAAAGGTTTATGGACCACAAGCAGCCCGGAGTATGATTCCAGCAGACGTGCGGTGGCTCTTATTGTCGGCGACTATAACACCAAAGATTTGAGTATGTCAGACCTACCCAGTCTCACGCATCAGGCCTGAGAGTCGCGCCTCAGGGGTCTGTCTCACGCCTTTGGGCCAGACTAGGGAAAAAAACGGCCGTGCGTTCTTAATCTATATAAGAAGACATCAATAAGTGCATTACAATGAAACAGGAATAGAAAGAACCCTTTGCTGCTGTTTCCTAATCCAGATTCCCTTGCTGCGGTTCCAGGTGAGCCTACTCCAACCTGGCCTGCTTCGGCTCCACGATAAGAAAGTGAGATAGTCCCACTTGTGAAAAAAGTGAATGATCGAATGTAATAAATGAGATTTATGTTGGTTTTAGAGTAAGGAAACCAAAGATAAATCATGTTTGCTTGTTTTTGTAACTTTAGTCTTGATCACATTTTTTATTCTTATGCAGAAACAAAACAGAAGTAGGACCAACTACTCCGATGCCCAAATTGAACACCTGTGCCAGTTTGTTCAGGGGAAAAGTGCCGTTCTCTTCAGCAAGGCAGGACACTCCAGCGACCGACTAAGACTTCTCTTGAAATTCATTTAACATTTACATGCTTAATGGCACTTACATTCCATCTTAAATTATTTCAACCCACTTGATATTATAGGAGAAGATTGATCTTTAGGGATATCAGATCCATGAAAAGAACACTAATTAGAAATACTTGGATGACGTATAATAAACCATTTGCAGCCCTTGGTTTGTGATGTTATAGAACGTGCCATAATATAGGATAGAGTCATATTACGCAATCCAATATACAATCACATTCAAACCATTCACAGCAAGGGATAGAAATGGCTCAATATCATTACATAAACATTATTTGCTAGATTCTCAGAATGTTAACAATCACATAAAAAAAAGGAGCTTGGTACTAAAGAGGCAGAGTTCAACCAGGTATCCAATCTTAAGCTCTTCATTTTATGTGAGAAGAATAAAAAATAGCCCATATGAAATAAAAGGTATTTGGGGGTTTACGGCTGATAAATTGATACATTTTCAAAATAATATTTGTGGTGTTAAAACAAAAAGTGCATGGGAAGATGAAGTGAATTCATTGTATTCCCCGTCAATTTTAAATTCCAGAGATCAAGTGAACCACCAAATGAAAGAGGCACTTGAGGACATTAAAAAAAATGCGCCACAAAAAGTGGAATGGCAGATGGCAGTTCTAAGGGAGAAAAACACAGAGCTAGCAAAGCAGAACTATGAACTAAACAAGCCCAACTGAGAGCTGAAAGGAACATGGATCTTACACTCCCAAAATTCATGACAAGCTCATTGTGTATTACTGGTCAGTGTTACAGGATCATGTTTGGTGAAACATCAACGAAAGCATCACTTGAGGACATCTAAAAACGCCTCGAGAATCGGAAGGGCGGCAGAAAAAGTGGAATGGCAGACGGCAGTCCTATATTTATTATGTGTGAGGGAACTAGCCGTGTGAGGGAACTAGCCATGTACACGCAATAAAACTATGATTGGGAAGGTGATAGCGGGTTACTCTCAATGTGTTGAGTGACGAGACAATGTTGGGGCTACTAGAATCAAATTACCCGTTTCATTTTGTTAACATACATTATTAATCGTATCATACATCTGAGCAGGGCAATTTTTAAATGTTATTGCCCTCAAGGTTTGATGGATAAGCCAACAAAATTACAATAAGTTAGTCCGCTCAGAAAAGTCAATGGGATTTGTGTGTAATTTGCCGGGCAATATAGGTTATACAGTAAACCAACGAGCAAATAGTTTAGCCAGCTCAGAAAAGTCAATGGGATTTGTGTGTAATTTGCCGGGCAATATAGGTTATACAGTAAACCAATGAACAAATATTTTAGCCCGCTCTGAAAAGTCAATGGCAAAATGCGTGTTAAACTAGTGAGCAATAATGTAGATCCAACATCAGGGTATTTAGTAACTTTCATCAAAATTTTTGACACACCAAATTCCCGCTGAGCTAGCTAGCCGCGCTCGCAATCAGCGGTACAACATAGGTTTTGTACGTAGACTAGCAAACGATCGCGGGCTAGCTGCCGCAGACTACAGGCGCAGCATTTTGTCAACAAGTATTTCGCAATCCCAAACATGGCTGCCTCCAGCTCATCGACGAAACCAAAGCGTTTCGCTAGTTTTGACGAAGAAGAATTCTCTAAAATTCTTGGGAATAAAGACAACACTAAAAGGTCCACGAAGCAAGGGATCAACATTTTGAATGAGTATTTATTTGAAAAAAAAACATTGATATTGATCTCGAGACGGTGGACACAACTACACTCGCTGCCATCCTAAGTAAATTTTACGTCGAATTGAGAAAATTGGACAGATCGCATTACAAAACATCATCGATGAATGCCCTGAAAGCTGGCATAAACAGGCATCTTAAATCTGTGCGTTCAGATAATCGACATAGCAAGCGATCGTGAATTCACCAAAGCTAACATCGCATTCAAAGCAGCATTGGTGGAGTTAAAAAAGCTTGGGAAAGGTGACATTGTACATCATGACGAAATAGAGAATGAAGATATTAGAAAGCTGTACAGCTATTTCAACCAGCAAACACGTACACCTGCAGGACTTTGTGAAAAAGTGTGGTTTGAGTTAAGTCTATATTTCTGTCGTAGGGGAGAGAGAACCTACGAAACATGACAAAGGATCATTTCCAAGCAAAAGTAGATGCCAGTCAACGTGAGTATGTTACTCAAAATATTGATGAGCTAACTAAAAAAACAAGAGAGGATAATCAAAGTTCTAGAGTGGATGGTGCGCGCATGTATGCTACTCCTGGTGATCCAAATTGTCCAGTTGCTTCGTTTAAGACATATTTGTCTAAATTAAATGATGAGTGTGATTGTCTGTTTCAAATGCCCAAGCAAACCCGTCCCACGGGGCCAGGCCCATGGTACACCAAAACACCGATGGGGAAGAACACACTCGGTAATATGATGAAAAACCTATCTCACAGAGCAAAACTGTCAAAGAATTATACCAATCATTGTATAAGAACAACGAGCATCAGGATCCTCGACAAGGAAGGCTTCAATGATAGAGAAATTTGTCAAGTGAGTGGCCACAATAACCAGTCGAGTCTCGCTAGCTACACTGGCCGTCTGCAAATCAGGAGATGAGCATGTCCAATGCATTTTCTCACGCCATTGGAGTACATGTAGCTCACCCTGTAGTACCGTCTCTGAATAGGCCTACAGCATCACACACACTTCCAGGTGACAACCCTGTTATTCAGGATGCAGGTCAGCCAAGCATGATCCAGCACACAGTGAGTGATATTGAGGACAATAGTGCAGATGTAAACTTTGATTTAGACTTTAACTTTGATGACATGGTACATGATGTACCAATTGCAAGCTCGCAGCTATCAGTACTTTCTGTTCACTCAGAAGAAGTCACCCAAGAAGTAATTGTAGTGAATGAAGAAACAGAAGTCACCGGAGAAGTAAACGCAGTGAATGATATTCTGCTACCATTGGCTACAAACAGAGCTCCAAATACCTCTGCCGCTGAGACCATCACGAACAGGAGAAGCACTACAAACAGGAGCAGCACTACAAATACAAGTCACAGAATGCAAGTTCAGCAGAGTCCTTTTATGATGAAAAGTTGTAATGTGACCATCAATTACTATAACTAGACCCAACAAAATTGGTAAGTTTTACTCTCAGTTTTCCTTTTTATCTAATGATTTTCTGAATTTCTTCCTCTGTAGGCCCTAGCTTTAGTCAAACTGGATTCACAGTGCTGGTTTGACGACGTTTTTGTAACTTCCGAGTGAGGTATCTACACACACAAAAAAAAAAAAATTATTAGGGTCTAGACTAGGCCTATTAAAAAAAAAAAAAAAAATAAATAAATAAATCAAAAGTTGCTTATTTGCTCTAGATATCTGATTTGGTTAATAATAGTAATGTTGAATGCCTAATTCAGGGCAATACGACTTGTCATATATCGCCCAAACCGAAGGTGAGGGCGATATATGTCGTATTGCCCTGAAGGCAGTCAATATTACTTAATTATATTTTGTACCCTGCAAGTGTGACAGCTAGATATTTAAAAAACAAAAACATTAACAAACATTTTCCCAAATGAAATTAAAACAATAAGTCAATTAGATAGGCAAGTTAACATTTCTACTGTTCTACATCATTGTGTTTGGTTTACCAATTTGCTCATTTCACAGAGGGCAAAGTAGGCCTTGCCCCAGCCACGGGGTACACCAATATCATTAATTCAACAAAACAATATTTCTTGTAAAATTGCAGCAGTAAAGTTTTGCACACCAAATCTCAGCTTCTGGCTTGTTTCATTTTGACCACAGTATTATTTGGTGTATGAGAGAGAGGTCACATGGTTGTGCGTAGTCCTGATACATGTTTATCAAGGTAAGCATCTTAATTGCATACTTGTGAATCAATTTCACTGTGTGTCATCCTCGGCTCCATCAGAGAAGTACACTGTATACCTTCACACACATCACAGCATCTCATTCTAGACTAAACTGAAACAGACTTTCGACAGTTTTTAAAACACACATTCTGTAGACTTCCGGCAGGTTTGGGCACACATTCTCGAGTCAAACAAAAGCCTAATGAATGAGGCCATTCGTAAGATGCCACTGAGCATGATCCAATCATCAGTATACACCAACACGGTCAGGCCATCCTCACAGATACATTCAGCCTACCAAAGCAGATGAGCTTTCGTTCTGTTTGATACCATCATGAAGGTCGGCGCAGCTGGAGGCCTGTAGTACAGGAGGTCCACTCTCTGATGCATTCAGGGCTTTCCAGGCGGCCAATGCTCACATCAACATCATCATACTCTTGTGCAGGTCACAGAATGACTGAGAGAGAGAGAGAAAGAAAGAAATAACTAGATGGAACTTCGACTGCGTGCAGTCGAAAATGATGCCTCCATCATAGAGCAAGTTTACAAACCAAAAAGCAATTTCTCATATACATATATGACCCTTTGATCTTTGACCTCATGACCCTAAAATGTACTCAGTTCATTGGCTCTGCAAGATGTCCTGAGTTAAATAGTAATCCATCTGTCAGTTCTAATGAGAATGCATTCACAAGCTATTTTTGCATACATAATGAGCCCATGACATTTGACCTTTGACCTCATGACCCAAGAATCTACTCAGTTCATTGGCTCCGCAAGATACATACATGATCTAAGTTTGGCAGGAATCCATCAATCTGTTCTAATAATAATGCAATCACAAGCTATTTTTTGCATACATAATGAGCCGCATGACCTTTGACCTTGACCAAGACCCCAAAATCTAATCACTTCATCGGCTCTGCAAGATACATACATGACCAAAGTTTGGCAGGAATCCATCAATCGGTTCTTGAGATAACGCGATCACGAGCTGTTTTTGCATACATAATGAGCCCTGTGACCTTTGACCTTTGACCTCGTGACCCCAAAATCTAATCAGTTCATCGGCTCTGCAAGATACATACATGACCAATGTTTGGCAGGAATCCATCAATCGGTTCTTGAGATAACGCGATCACGAGCCTCCGGCTACTTCGTAACGGAGGCATAAAAATGGGAAGTTAGGCATTCCACTTATCATGATATATACCGTAGGAAGTCTTTCATCTACACATTGTATATTTATGAACATTCACATGAGAGTTACATCTAACTGATATATGTCAATCAAAAAGACAACAAAAGAACAAATCAACTTGAAATTTCATCTTCGATTTACAATAAGTAGATTAAAATACCAATTAAAGAAATTGTATAAGTATTACAAACCTTTTAAGAATCAAATACTAAGATCAGATCATATCAATTTGGTGATGAAACAACCAATATCAATTTTAAATCTCTATTCTGGCCCCATGGAAGACCAGCAGCAACAATTATCGTTGCAGCTGAATATGGGCAACCAGCCGTATATTTGTATTTGTATCTGATTATTTTTTATACGGAAATAAAAACGACAACATTCTAAGTTATGGTAAAGATTCTCCTCACCCAAAAGATGGAAATTATACTTGACTTACAGCATAGACAATGTTCTTTCATAAGCCATCAGCTAGACTGTACTTCATCATGAACTCAAAATCTCTGTAGCTTACACGACCATCACCATCTCCATCTAGTTCACTAACAAAATAATGACAACAAAAATATTTGAATATGATTTCACTATCAATCATTGCTTGAACAACAGCATTTTCATATTTAGGAAATGAGTATTAGAACCTTGATGAACAAGAGTTTCCAACTAAAGAACTGTATCACTCCCATAAGATACTTTTGAATGTCTCTAGTATATAAGCCAGAATTGGACAACTCAATCAGTTATCAATTTAATTTTCAACAGTGTCTGGTGTAGCCACCAAAATATATTTCTTTACCAAGATGCTCCTATGTGTGTTCTCAGTCAAGTTAAGTCTATTATCACTGGCAGCTTTCATCAATACACACATGAATTTTGGTTCCTCTTCTGTATACTTTTGAAATGTTTTGCTTTAAAAAATAGTCTTCAGAGGTCAATGAAATCTTACCTGAAAGCTTTCTGGACTCGATGAGGCTGAATCTTTGGAGCTACCAACTTGCATGCCTTCTCTACATCCTCCATAGTCAGGAATCCTCTACCTATGTATGAGTATACGAGAGAGAAATTCAGTTTGAAGTGTTGTAAAGATTCAAATACTTAATGAAAATTTGAATGAAGTGTCTGATGAGGATTTTGTATAAGATATTTATATCATGCATTATTCAATATGTCAATAGTAACCACTTTTATATTACTGCAAGAACATTAACTCTCTTGACAAAGAAAATCAAAACAATGATGAATTAGTGCATAAAAATATGGTTCTTTGTGATGTTTCATAAATATTAATTAAACATTAGCAACTGGTGAAAGGGTATAAAAATCCTGAAGACGATAAGTACCATCTATCCAAACTAATCTTGTCAAAAGAATATGTGGCGCAAACCTCGCTCAAACTATCCTCACCATGGAAGCCTTCAAAGATTACAGAATCAAAATCATTTCCCCATACTTACATTTGCTGTCAAATGCAACAAATATTTGTCTGATGTGTTCATCTGGGTCCAGTGCTGCCAATTTGGGCTTCATCGCAGATATGAATTCATTCGACGTCATACCTTTGTGAGAGAAAGAATGTCATACTACTGTTAGTGCCACGATAGAATGTGGGGAAAAAACAACGGGCATTAAAGAATATGTACACAAACTTGGTCTTGCCACCTAGAAAATTGCAAATTATTTAAAAATCATTAATGAACAGTAGATTATTATATGTTATGAAAGAGTGTTTTATCCCAAATCGACTTGCGCCAAAGTGATGCCTACAGCATGTTTTAAGTTGGGATTAGCGGAGTGAGAGAATGAATTAAATGTATCAAATGAAATGCATTGCACATGCTTTTTGCAGAAGCAAAGTCACACACACACAAACGCACACGCACAAATTTTCGTTGATATTTGATATGTGTGGCATAATTAATTTTTTTAGGGATGCTATTTGGATCTGCAAAGACCGAATTAATACCCAAATCCCAATTGTTTTATTCAAACATCACATAAGCAATTTTGGCGCAAGTCGATTTTGCACTCTCGCAAGCAATGCCACCTGTTCATCCAAAAAGTGAATACATACCACACAAAAATGATACCAAATGATTTGGGATAAAACACTCTGTCATAAGGTGTATAATAATTTACTGTTCATAGATTAATTTTTTATTAATTAGGAATTTTCTAGGTGTAAACTTTTTTTTTACTCACACTGTATTTAGTTGAAGGGGCTTACCGGGTATGTTCTTTATATAATGTGCTTTATCAGGCATGGTTTTATAGTAGGGCAGGGCACTTTTTAATTTTTCTTTTATATACTGTTTATGGGGTGCTTTTCTAAGATTTGTTTAAGGCATGTTCACACCCCCCCCTTATTACCCCAATATTTTGTGAATTTTGTTGTCTTATACTCACCAGGCCCATCTATGTTTTTCATCAGCTCATCCACCTCAAACTGTAGAAAGAAAATCATCATTTCAATAGTAAATTATTTGTCAAACAATGAGGCCCGAATTCACAAAGCAAGGTTTGAGCTCAAACCTCCTTTTGTTTCGCCAAACCTCCTTTTGTTCTTTACAAACCAGGTTTGTAAAAAACGCGTCATATGACGTACGAAAACCAAGGTTTGTCGACAAACCTGCTTTGTGAATTCGGGCCAGTATGTCCTGTTTTATCTTGAAGAAAAAAATTGGAAGAGATTGTTACCATTTTCTCCCTGTAGAAAAGGCTGTCTCATTTTTAAGGGCAACTTCTTGTCAGTTTAATCTTATTTCAAATTTGGCATGCACTGGACTATGGGTACTGGGTACATTCACTGGCTTGGGGCTGTTGTGCCCCCAAATAAAATAAAAACATGGTTTATTTCTAATTCGATATCAGTGATTTATAAATGTTACTGAAATGACTTTTTTTTTTTCTCTCACTGTTTTTGTAAATTATACTTTTCTATGCTTTCGTTGGAAAATGACAAATTCCCAAATTTATAGTCAGGCAAGAAGAAAGTCACGTTCACTACCATGCTCACACACTCAATCTCGCTCTGCATCTTGATTTCATCATTTATAGTAGGCCTGAGTCATCACGGGTTTTGCCGAACCCGGGTTTGACTTGAAAATTTCGGGCGGGGACCGGGTACCCGAAATTTTCACCACTGCACTGACACTAAAAATCGTGTGCATGCAGCGGCGGGAGTTAGACTAAGTTGCTGTTCTAATAATGCGACGGAAAAGACAGTTACTGCTTTCAAAACAATAAAATAATCAATGGAATTAAATTAAGATGCTTTAAAAGATAAATGGATATCGTTTCAGTTGACGGTAGGTGTTTTTATCGCTCTAAAATTGAGGCTGCAAGAAAGGAATCACGCTTCGTGGTACCGATCGGGTGCGTTCAGAAACGGAAGTGGAAATAGATCTATGACCCACTGAAGACAGAGCAAGAAAATGCCACACACAAGAAACAATAATTTATTCCAATCTGGACAAAAAAAGCATATTATGGACTGCCAATTTCACATATTTTCTTTATTTTTCCAATATAATTGATGCCTTATGTTTATCAAAAAGCTAAAGATAACTTGCAAAAAATGTGTAATTGTTAATATCAGGTGGAAAGAAAGGTTTACAAAAATAATGAATCAAGCTTCTTTTCATTAACACATGTCAACACTCTCTGCAAACTCTAACTTAGTCACTGTTTTCAGAGCATTAAATTGAACTGCATTACACAACTGATTCCAATTAAATAAAACCAATGAATATTCATTGGTATCCTTTATTTGTCCATCAATATATGTTGCATGTACATGTATACTGTATCAAAATTCAAATACATATATATTGATTAATTCAATGAATTAATGTAAGTTTATACATGACACTTGTTATCTGAATCGTATAAGTTTATACATGACACTTGTTCTCTAAAGCGTATAAGTTTATACATGACACTTGTTCTCTGAATCGTATAAATTTATACATGACACTTGTTCTCTAAAGCGTATAAGTTTATACATGACACTTGTTCTCTAAAGCGTATAAATTTATACATGACACTTGTTCTCTAAAGCGTATAAATTTATACATGACACTTGTTCTCTGAATCGTATAAATTTATACATGACACTTGTTCTCTAAAGCGTATAAATTTATTCATGACACTTGTTCTCTGAATCGTATAAATTTATACTTGACACTTGTTCTCTAAAGCGTATAAGTTTATACATGGCACTTCTTCTCGAAAGTGTATAAGTTTATACCAGACACTTGTTCTCTGAATCGTATAAGTTTATACATGACACTTGTTCTCTGAATCGTATAAATTTATACATGACACTTGTTCTCTAAAGCGTATAAATTTATACATGACACTTGTTCTCTGAATCGTATAAATTTATACATGACACTTGTTCTCTAAAGCGTATAAGTTTATACATAACACTTGTTCTCTGAATCGTATAAATTTATACATGACACTTGTTCTCTGAATCGTATAAATTTATACATGACACTTGTTCTCTAAAGCGTATAAGTTTATACATAACACTTGTTCTCTGAATCGTATAAATTTATACATGTCACTTGTTCTCTAAAGCGTATAAATTTATACATGACACTTGTTCTCTGAATCGTATAGATTTATACGAGACACTTGTTCTCTAAAGCGTATAAGTTTATTCATGACACTTATTCTCTGAATCGTATAAATTTATACATGACACTTGTTATCTGAATCGTATAAGTTTATACATGACACTTGTTCTCTAAAGCGTATAGATTTATACGAGACACTTGTTCTCTAAAGCGTATAAGTTTATACATGACACTTGTTCTCTAAAGCGTATAAGTTTATACATGGCACTTCTTCTCTAAATTGTATAAGTTTATACATGACACTTGTTCTCTGAATCGTATAAGTTTTTACCAGACAGGAGATGTACCACTGGTATGAATTTGGCGATCCTACTTCAAAGCTGTGGAAAGTTATTGTGTGTATACAGCTTTGTATGTTAAGTTCAATGACCTTTTAACCTTTGAACTTTGTTGAACACGAGTGACCCATATTCGAACTTGACCCGAGTCTACAAGAGATGTACCACTGGTGTGAATTTGGCAATCCTTGATCAAAACTATGGAAAGTTATTGTGTGTACTATGCTTTTAATAAAAAGTTCATAGACTTTTTGACAGTGCCGTAAAAACTGGAAAACAACAACAACAACTTTTGACCTTTCACCTTTGTCGGATATCGCCCATATTCAAACTTGATCTGAGTCTTCAAGAGATGTACCACTGGTATGAATTTCACGATTCTACTTCAAAGCTGTGGAGAGTTATTGTGTGTACAGCATAAGTACAGCTTTGTATATTAAGTTCATTGACCTTTTGACCTTTGAACTTTGTCGACCATGACCCATATTCGAACTTGACCTGAGTCTTCAAGAAATGTACCACTGGTAAGAATTTGGTGATCCTAGCTCGAAGATATAGAAAGTTATTGGGTGTACAACATAATTGTTGACGCCGACACCGCCGGTGTAAAAAGTGACGCCTATGCCTGGCTCCTGCTACGCAGGCGAGACAAAAAGGACATGAAACCATTTTAACGGATATCAACCGATGCCAAAAAACGACATCCGTTCCTCAAGTGTGACAGCCGCATGACGGATTAAACAAAAGTACCATCCGTTACTTGTACATTTTCTGATCCGGCCATGTCTGGCAGCGGAATAAGCTTGTAAGTTTTCAATTCAAAATATTACAGTAATATTAAAAAAGATTAGACTAAAATGTTGATCAGACTATTGCAATTAAATCGTAATACTAAAGGCATTAATTTAATTGTCAAAATATATCCACAACATAATGGTTTACCCTTGATAGTTTGATGAAGGAAAATAAATTAAAGCTCTTGAAATAACATCGAAGTGCCTTTCGTTCGTTCTAAAAATGCGTGTATAACGGCAAGCAGAAGTTACGAGTCAAGCTTGATATGCACGTTTACATCCCTATACCGTCATCCGACCTGATCGGAACAATAAGCATTAAACCAATTAAAAAACATCACGGAAGACTTTAAGGGACTCCAATTCAACAAAATTACCGTAAAATAATTATTTGCTTTGACAAATAATACTATAGATATTCATAATATCTTACAGAAATAATGATATTTCATGAGCTACGTACTCGATATCGAGTTCAGCTAGCCATCATTTTGAAATGAGACGTAGTTGTCATGCAGCAGACTGTAGAGGGCAGTATGCAGAAGAGAGAGGAAAAAGCGCGGGCCTGAGATCACGTGATATTCACGTGACTATTACGTGATTTTTTTTCCCTCTCTAGCTGCGAGCTGCCGCATTCTGCGCTGCATGCATGACAACTACGTCTCATTTCAAAATGATGGCTAGTTGAACTCGATATCGAGTACGTAGCTCATGAAATATCATTATTTCTGTAAGATATTATGAATATCTATAGTATTATTTGTCAAAGCAAATAATTATTTTACGGTAATTTTGTTGAATTGGAGTCCCTTAAAGTCTTCCGTGATGTTTTTTAATTGGTTTAATGCTTATTGTTCCGATCAGGTCGGATGACGGTGTAGGGATTTAAACGTGCATATCAAGCTTGACTCGTAACTTCTGCTTGCCGTTATACACGCATTTTTAGAACGAACGAAAGGCACTTCGATGTTATTTCAAGAGCTCTAATTTATTTTCCTTCATCAAACTATCAAGGATAAACCATTATGTTGTGGATATATTTTGACAATTAAATTAATGCCTTTAGTATTACGATTTAATTGCAATAGTCTGATCAATATTTTAGTCTTGTGTGTGGCATTTTCTTGCTCTGTCTTCAGTGGGTCATAGATCTATTTCCACTTCCGTTTCTGAACGCACTCGATCGGTACCACGAAGCGTGATTCCTTTCTTGCAGCCTCAATTTTAGAGCGATAAAAACACCTACCGTCAACTGAAACAATATCCATTTATTTCTAAAGCATAATTATTTGATTATATTGAAATATAAGTTTGTGAATTCCATATTTTTAGTTCTATATTTCAAAATATCAGTGTGAAATTTAATTTTGAAAAACCCGAAACCCGAAAACCAAAAACCGGGTTTCAGCTTGACGGTCGGGGCCCGGGCGGGGACCCGTTTCGACTCAGGCCTAATTTATAGAGATGCTGAAAGTGGAAGCTATTGCAAGAAGTACCTTGTCTAACTGATTTCATAGACAATGATATCGAATATTATCATTAAGACATTGTAAGCATTTCCTAAAGCATCTCTTTTAAACATTGCACAGAACACATTTTGTGATGGATATCTGTCGGCTCTTTAGGGTTATTCGGGAGACTTTGGGCTGACCGAAATATGTCGAGATCAGATGGAATTGTTGTCTGTTTTCAATTGTGTTTTTTTATGTTTTTTACACTTTGATCAATGAGATAATGAAGAACATTAATGTAAGAGATAAAGTAATTTGTTATGGTGTGTAGATGCAAAGTACTCTAGCCTCATGAATAATCAACATAACATAAAACAGTACGCCATAGCTAAAACATAGTTTGTAGGCCCATATCTTGACCGTTATCGTCAATATCCGTACCCCCCCCCCCCATTAAAAAACAATTGCCCATTATGCCACTTGATGGTGATGCAGATTTTTTCTGCCCCCAAAAAGTATTACATTAGTTATTCACCTGAACTACATGTACATATTATTTCATTTAAAAAAAGTCAGAATGCAGATTGTTTAAATTGGGATTTGTAAATTAGCAATGTTTCTCTGATATAACTACTACTAATTAATTTGATAGACGACGTAACAGGTAAATGTTATGTCAAAGAACACTTGAAAAGTGAATAAATACAGAAAATCATAAATTTCCTTTTATTTCCTTAAATGAGAAATACAAAAATAATTTACCTTAGATGGTTTGTATCCAATGAGTCTGACCACAGCCACTTTGAGATCTTCTCGTGATAGGAAACCCTTCTCGTCTTCATCACACTCATTAAAAGTCTGCAAAATATAACAATGTTTCAATTTCAATAATGAATCATGGTAATTATGCATATGCACAAATGCAAAGGAGTACACACAGAAAGCTATAAGAGCAGAAGAATGAAACACAGAAGAATAGAACACAACACATGTTTTTACACTAGGTCATTCTTCTTCAACAAATAGGAATCATGAGAGGCTCTTCAGAATTAAAAAAAAGAAGTTTTTAAAGAAGAACGCTGTACCAAAAGCTATAAATCCTCTAACATCCTAGAGGCTGTTATCTTTCTTTGAAGAAAGTACCCCAACTTTCAAACACATGTCTTGAATGACATTTCATCCAGAAGTGTAGACCGCCCCCTCTCCTTCTCTCTTTCTCTGTACCACCTATTAAATCCTGGCTCAATATTTTGCTATAACAAACAGAAATGCCTTAGCCTAGTCTATTTATATTATAGATTTTGGTGATGGTATTAATTGGCCTCCCTAATTGTAGACTGACAATTTCTGACTCTTTCGTTCATTTATTTGGGTAGGGCGGGCTCCTCAAAGAAAAGGCGCGACCCCGGCCCCCCCCCCCCACTCCGGGGTCAGAATGACCGCATGCGTCTTACCAAAATGTCCGGTAAAGGGGTACTTTTCGTGCGACAAAGTCCGGCCCGAGAATTGTAAGAAAAGGGGGTGTATTTGACTTTCACCCGGAGATTCTTTAAAAAGGGGGTGTTTTTTTCTTTTTTCTCTCATCTCTTTGGACTCCTGAGAAATTATTCCGAATTTAGGGGGGTAAATTGAGCATTTTTCTGAATTTAGGGGAGTACATTGAGCATTTTTCTGAATTTAGGGGGTTCTCCAAGGCAGAAAAAGCCCGCTAAAAGCCAGCGAAAAGGGTGTTCGGAAATGTTGGCAGTCCTCAGATAGGGGGTGCTTTCAAAAAGAGGGAACGAGCATATGCGTACCCTAAATAACACTGAGTGGGGGGGGGGGGGCCGGGGGCGCGACCCTACCCAAATAAGACTAAAACCCCGTCTTAACCGGAAAATATAGTCGCGGTGTCATCCGGACAACGTCTGGATGACATATTCTACTCCATTCCAGTTAAGACGCGTCAATCGAGGTAACGTCCGTACAATATCGAGATGACATCGAGGCGAGTTTCACCCTAGTCAGGCCAGGGTGAGATCGCGGTAACGTCTGGACATCCTGATAAACGGCCAATTAAGACGCGCGTGGAACTCTACCCGTGTAGAATTATGTCAGGGCTGTGAAAAAAATGTATACATGTACACAGCGCGCGCCAGCTGATCGCGATGAGGGAGGTGCGGTTGTTATGGTAACCTACCTGAGTGAGGTTTTTGCGGATTGCTGGTTAAGACGGGTGTCCATGAACCTGGCAAAAGCTCACCCAGCATTTTACGATCAGACCCCCAACTGTTTCCACATATCGCTCGGGTGAGAACGAGAAGTTCTAGACTGAAAGAGACAGAAATATTCTGTCTAGAAAGACTAGAATCTAGGCCTAGACTAGATCTAGGCCTAGATTCTAGCCTGCTAATGCTATAGATAGACTACATGTCTGTCAAAAATCAGGATTTAGATCTACACACACACTTACTTCTTTTACCATCCATAATTCCATATTTTTCCATGAGACCTTCAGTCTTCTTCTTTCCCTCTAGACTCTAGTCTTAGTCTTAAATGCCATCCACTTCCCATGGCCATGCGGTCATGCTCATTTCCTATCTACACATCACATGACCCATCCAATCCACTTCATTTCAAAACTCAACCTTCCCCATCACACCAGCACCACATACTACATAGATCTAGATCTAGGCCTAGATCTTCATAGTCAGGATAGTGGTCAATGATTAAATTTATAACTGTCAGTTAAATTATTAAGACAATTAACTTACACTTTCCAACATCGCTAAGTTAAACCAAGCCTAATTAATCTGCTTTTCTGCCTTACGAGAATCTGAGCTGTGCAACTTCTTCTCCGAGCTCATCCGCACTGCATATGCATAATTGCACAGTACAGTGCAAGTTGTTGTTGTTTACATAATTTGGGTTTGCCGCCTTTGATATCGCACGTGCCCTGTTTTTAGCTACGGTACAACTTACAAGCTAGCTAGCGCAGCTGAGCTAGCTGCGCTCGAGCTGAGCTGTGAGGACGGAAGTCCGACGCCGACGTTTACAGCTCGCGCCCCGCGCGCTAGCTCTGGTTTGGCGACAAGAAGGGACCTTTAGTACTTTTACTAGAATCTACTGGCGGAAAGCACGAGCAGGCAGCTTCTATCTAAATAATCCGTCTTTGATTGTATTGTATGATGGCAGATTCGGAGACAAAAGGAGGGAATCGAGACGGAAAGCAAGACAGAGGTCAGTAGGGGCACGAGTGGAAAAAATTTGAGTCAAAAGTCTCAAGACAAGATAAATCTTTGTTTTTGAAGTTTGATGTTTGTGCTTGTTGCAGACCCACACATACATAGTCATAGCTGCATTACTATCCTGGCTGTGTATTAAATGCTGTGCTATTGTCATTGATTCTCAACATTTCAAACACCACTATACAAAACTCAACTGATTTCACTCAAAATCGGTACTTTGGTGACGATTGATGACACCTAAATAGCAGTAAAATACAATTTGTTCAACTTTCTGATATTCGAAAGGATAATTTAAAAATTCAAATTAAGAGTCTACTGTCAAACTTGCCGATCAGCCGCATCGGCTTGATTGTGTACATTTGCGTCTTATGAGTGTATCGACTATTCATGTATTCAAATGCTGCCTATTAACACGTAGTGCAGTGCTAGAGGTCAATACGCATCAGCATTGACTCTCTATGCTTTGCTGGAGTGCATAGATCTAGACCTAGATTCCAGCAGAAAAATGAAAGGGAATTTCTAGAATCTACCAATTATAAATGCATGATCAAAGTTCAAACAACAGAATGACCAGGGTCATAGTATATTTGTAAAGCACTTAGGTCTTAGACTAGACCCTTTATGAAAATTAAATATTAGTCTAGATCTAGACCTATTATAAAAATATTAATATTATTATTATTATTTACGGAAGTGTTACTAGAATCTAGTCTGTACATACACTATTTAAATTAATTCAAATTTGCCTTTACTTTCCAAGTTAGAGAAACGTAAATAAAGTTCAATATTAAACCTTTTGACCTTTATTATGGATAATGCAGGTGTCATTTGTAAGACGCACCTTTTGACCCCCGGGGATGGTGCGTCATGGTTGCGTCATGTTCCCCAAAATCGCGACGCACAGTACCGTCATGGCCGCAAAATGTCCGTCACAATACTGACCCATATGTGCGTCATAGTAAGTCACTTTACCACGTTGCGTCATTTGGTGTGTCAATGAATGGGACCGTCACTTTCTCCAAGCAGAAGTGTTTCTCAAATGTGCGTCATTGGCTAGTCATTTTCATGAAATGGTGTGTCATATGTTTGACTCAAATGTGCGTCGATGGAATGTAATGGTGTGTCACTTTCTGTGACGGAAGGTGCGTCATGGTATCAAAATGTACGACTCACATCGGTACAATGACGCACCATTCCCGGGGGTCAAGAGGTGCGTCTTACAAATGACAAGTGCATAATGGCATCATGAGATGAAATTTGATGAATGTATACCCCAACAAATACATTTTAAGTATATAAGAAACTCTCACGTTAGGTAACCCAATTCACAAGGTCACTTACTTTTAGCATAATTATATGATTATAGATACTTCACTAATCTTATATTTTAAGTTTCATTCTTCTATTGAATTCTTACCAAGGTCCATATAAGCGCAACAGAAGAGGCGACCGCTCACATCATCCAAAACCGAAGGCAGAAGAGGAGGATAGTTCCGAGAATGTGGAGCTTACACCTACCCTCTTAGCCTTCAAGTGAGTTTCTTCATTTTATTGAGAGGGGTTGGGGGGGGGGGGTGTATTATCATCTCAACTGCAATTGGAGTAGATTGCAATACTATAGTTTTTGTGCCATTTTTTATGAAGGAGGGACCACAGCAACTCCTGTCTTTTACTGAGCACAATTTAAGGTAACAGTGTTGTCAGAGGAAAATGTTATTACAAAGTGCAAATGTTTAAGTGCTAGGGCAGAATTGAATCGTGAATGGTTCATGGTTTTATTACAGAGTGGGCCAGAGAATCCAAAAAAATGTAAATAAATTTGGTGTAAAGATTAGATTGGCCAGAAATGGATTTTCTTATATCTTACATTACAGTTTGTGAACTTTGTTCCGGAAATATTATATTCACGAATTCACATATTTAGTTCATGCTTCACTTCTGTGACCTAGCATAAACCATCTTAGCCTTTTTTTTTACATATATATTGAGTGAACCAATTGTGTAGAGCATTCTGCTTTCCTGTTGTGTCCACTCTAGATATCAGGGATAAAATGTCTCAAAATTTGACAACTCATTTCATTGTTGTTTTCTCAAGGGAATACCAGTCTGAGCTGGATCTCAAACATGACAAGCATGAAAGACTTGTGAAGGTCAGCAGAGATATCACAATCGAGAGCAAGAGGATCATATTCCTGCTACACCGCATAGATGGGTAAGGCTAGCTACATGTATGTAGGGGTATTTAATACAGGTTGGGGTGGGGATAATTTGACAGTTGGTTCTAAAGGAGAGGGATTCAGGATGTTTCAAAAGGTTGGATAAATGAAGAGAGGTGTTCTTGTGTCAAAGGGTTAAATATAGGATAGCAAGTATATATTCCACTGGATAATTAATTATGAGTGAATAAGAGTTGTGCATATATGGATTGTATAGAGTAGAGGTGAGGGGGTAGACCCTGGGTGTAAGTTAGAAGAGAGTTTCCATTCAAGGAAACCATATCACAGAAGGAAGGGCTGGAGAGTGTGTGAGAGAGAACAAAATTATACCTTCCCATAAAAAGTGTCCATCATTATTTGTAGGACTGTTAGTCATGTAGTAATTATTACTAAGCTACTCTTGTGTAAGATGTTTGGAAGTTAAAATGTTATGGTTTGAGAATATTGGTACCTAGCATTGTAAACCTCATGATCCTCAAAGTTAGATAATCACCTTAACATGTTATTTTCATGCCATTGCTGGTAACTGATTGAATACATTTTGACACTTCTTCTGTATATTAGAGACAGTGACAAGGTTCTTATTGAAGCAGAGACGAGACTGAAATCATTGGAGGATACCCTTATCTCTAAGATTGCTTCTGAACTAAAAGTAAGTTTTTCGAAATTTGTCATTAATTGAAAGGTTCTTAAACTTAGTGTTACAGGGGCAAATAAGAGGTGAATTGGTAAAAAGATTCCTTTGTAATATATGAAAAATATTAGGCTTTGCATTGCTCACTTTCTGTTACCCCTTTGGCTTATAAATTGAAATTGGAAAAGAGAGGACGTTTGGACCAATACAGGGAATAGAAATAGTATGAAGTATAATGGTAAAGGAGTAAGATATTTAATAGTACACTATACATGTATGTGAATGAAAGAAGAAAACATGGAAATTATCTTATTTTTTGTATGTTATATTTTTCTCCATTAGGGTGAGGATTTGCATCAGTTTATCAGGGCTTTCTCACCAGGTGTTCAGGAGTATATTGAAGCTGTTTCATTCTACCTCTTCATCAAAGAAGAAAGACTTGTAACTCTTGATGAAATTATCTCAAGACTCACATTCTCTCTGAAAGAAGACATCAAGAAGGTGGTAAATGAAGTAAGTTGAAACCTAAAAGTACTTTTGAAATACACAATAGTCACAATTAGAATCAGAACTCAAATATGTAATGTGTTGCTCTGAAGGAACTCTTGTGCAGGTGGTGTTATTCAACTTTTTACATACCGTAACATTATTTTTAAATGGTCTGATAATTGTTCATTCTTTTAAGATTTTGTAATGTTAATTGTTAAAAAAAGAAAAAAGTATTTGATGCGCAACTGATATGAAGAGTAGGCTTATATTATGATACAGTTACTCAATGACATAGCAAAGACCAAATTATTTATACGTGTAGTTGAAATTTCCCTAGTGTAACCAAATTCATTCCAACTATAGACATTCCGTCAACCTATGTGTATTAAAAACATGAATCAAGACAAAATGTCATTGCACAGTCTTATGACATCTCCTGTAGTTTGCATTTAATGTTCATATTATATCTGTTAATTGTGCAGGAAGCAGAGGAAGCTGGCAGAGTAAAGAGTCGATCAGAAGCCAGTGATTCCACAGAGAAACAAGATCAGCTAGATCCATTGAACTTGAAAGAATCAAAAAGTGGTAGTGACCATGGAACATTAGCACTGAAGCTCCCACCTCTGGAGTACATGCTCGGACTGGCAGACTTCACGGGTGAACTCATGCGCATGTGCATCAATATCATCGGCAGTGGAGACCTTGAGAGACCCTTCCAGCTTGTGAATTTCATGAGGAATATCAACCGAGGTTTCCAGCAGCTTGGTAACATAGCTGGACGGGAGATGGTGCGCAAGTCAACGGTGATGAGGCAGAGCTTGAAGAAGATGGAGGATGCTTGCTATGTGATCAAGGTCAGGGGGTCAGAGATTCCCAAGCACATGCTCAAGGATATGGCTTTCAGCTCAGACTTCTCTGCCAGGGATGATGACTATGGTCGGGATATGATGGATTGATATACTTTCACTTTGTGTGTCCTGTTATGAAATCCAGCTATAGAAACTCAGTGTTGAAAGATAACTGAACTTATTAAACCTTTTTTGTTAAATTCAAAAGTGACTGAATTTTTTTTAAAACAGATAATATTATGTACCGGTATGTTGAAGTTTTTCCTTCTGGTTTTGTTATGCAACATAATATTATTGCATTAAAGCCTAACATGAAGGATGTTTGCATAACATAAGATGAAAAGTTCTTATTTTATAAAAGAAAAGCTAGTAGGAAAATATGCAGATCATGTAAAATGTATGAATGATTTTCTACCTGAATTGAATCTTTGAAATAAAAATAAAAGAGGGACAAGGCTTCTGGGTATTAAAGATAAAGATTTGTTCAGTGTTGTTAATAGCCATCGAGGAAAAAACTGAATCAGAAAAACAGTTTGTCCCTTAAATGATCTGAAGAATTTACTCACAAAGTGTTTACCCCTTTCTACTTATAGGGGGTGAATAATTGTTGTAGGGGATTAAAACTAATAGTTTACCCCACAATACAAAACTATTTCCCTTGCCTGGCGAAGGAAATATTTTGCCGGTTCAGAAGAAGTGCTTCATCAGAAAAAAAAGCATCATAGATTGATCATTTACCTGTCACATTTGTTCCATGAGTTATCGGAGAAGACATAAAAAATGATTGACAGAAGACCAGTAGATATGCCATTGAGGTTCTCGTCTAATGATAAAAAAATTTATGGATCAGTGCTCTATCTCATGGTTGTTAGAAAAAATTGTTATTTATCATTTCTACAAAAATTCAAGCAAAATAATCTTTTGTGAAAAGTGTACATCAGGAGTCTTCTCTTTTGTTAATTATTTGCTGATGTTTTGAAAATAGATACATTCACACTGACAAGAATGGTCATCATTTTTTTCAAGTTGTTTTTTATTGATAAATATTTCACTCCGGTTTCTTTATTTTGGTTAATATATTACTGTCCGTAATACTTTCCATTTTTATTTGATTTTATGTCAAATCCTCCCCCCTCCCAATATTTCCCAAAATGAATAAATAAAAAGTCAAATATATATATATATATATATATATATATATATATATATATATATATATATATATATATATATACCCTTTCACTTGATGTACCATTGTCTGATATATATTTGGTATGTGGATGCTGGAAGTAGAATTGACATAAAAAACAGAATTATGACTCAGTGCATATTTTGTTTTACCTTTTAAAACACTTAGCGTCCAAGATGACGTTACATTAACAGGGTCAAGTGGTTATTCATTGAATATTACTGATGTATTTTGTTAACCTATTTGCAGAGGCGTTCTTATTTCTGTAGCCATATTTGTACTGTATCCTGTTGACAGTATCTGTAATCAACTTCTTAATTGGCTCCATTGTTTTTTATGATGAAGAAAAAAATTATCAAACCTCCACAATTAAGTGGAATCATCTTTTCATACAAGTTTAATTCTGTGTAATTCAAGGATGATTTCATCTAAGATTAAGAAATGTTATTGACTCACTGCATGTTTGCATTATTGGGCAACTTACTGTTCAACGTACATTCTCTGATCGCCATGAATAAACTCATATTTATGCAAGCGCGTTCTAACATGAATTTATTTCTTAGTCCATTGTCACTTTAAGATGTCAATAGGTTGAAATAGTAGGACTGTTATTCTATCAATGTAAAATAAACAAAGACCTAGTCAATGAAATTGTCCCTCCTTTTCCAGTCTCATGTAAATTATTCCAGTGTTTAATTGTGTGTGGCAATGCCGACCTGTATTTTTCAGGAAATCATGTATTTTCTTTTGGCACATCACCTATACTGTATTTTCCTTGATCTCCTTGATCCCTTTTTTGTTTTGTTTTCAAAATAAAATATATAATATCCCAAAAAATTATGCTCTCTCTCTAGATTTTGTGCAAATCTTAATTTCCACTACATACATGGTTCTACATTTCTTGATTTTTTTAATGATGGCTAGTCGCTAGCAGTAAACTGATTTATCAGAATTTGTCTTTTGGCATAGTGCTCTCTTGGCTTCTTGTTATTTATAAAAAAGAATGCATTGCTGCTTTTTCTCAATTCATTTTCGAAGTGTTTTACAATGAGTAGATAATCTGTCTGAATCAAACCCTAAACTAAAATCTCAATTTATTCCTTCAACTTGCCCCTGAAAACATAGGTTATTGCTTTTGCAGTGAAAACAAAAACATTGTTTTGTGAGGGACTTTTGTTTGGTGAGGGTACTTTATAAGAAAAATGTGTAGTGTATGGCCTACCAGCATCAGCCAATGTGACATAAATATTTTGTAACAACAACATAGATTATTGCTATAAAAAGAATTAAGGGCATCGGCTTATGCGTGCCCTTACTAGAAAATAAGAAAAAGTTTAAATCCAAGAAAATTATAAGGGCTTCTTCCTTGGTGTTTAATCCCCTTTCTTTTGCGCGTGTGTGTGAGAGAGAGAGAGAGAGAAAGTAGATAAATGACACCTAGTTTCGCAAACAAGAGTATAAGTGCAGACTTAGTGAGTGTTTAAATAGTTTATGATCTAAAGAGTGGTGTAAGACTAGAATCGGGTGTAAGACTAGAATCGGCCGTAAGTCAATTATAGTACCTAGTATTAATAGTCATGTGCACCGTATATAGGCCTATGTACAAAGCTGTTGAGAAGTCAAAATATTTTTTCTTTTTTGATTTGTCGTGCTGTTTTTACCTTATTCTGGCCGCAGAATGCAGATTCAAACAAGAATTTTTTTTGACTTCACGCTTGGGAACGTGACGCCGTTTGCAATTTCCCTTGGTTGACGTACAATTTCGAGCAAATTACGATCCTGAAGCAATCTTGTCACGTCAGTCATTCATCATGGACAAACCACAAATCATAATTCATGCTACAAAATCCTTGAACATTACGCTGTACGACGTGAAATGGATCCCCAGAAGTGCCCGGTTCGTTGTGATCGGTTGCCACCCGAGACAGACGGGGGCTTTGCAGGTCTTCGAGATGGATCAAGGAGAACCTAAATTAATACACGAGGTAGGTCGTAGATCTAGATCTATGTGAATGTACATGTATCTACGGAGCCCCGGAAGTGACATGGAGAATTTTTTTTTTTCTTGTTTTCCTGATAATTTTTCGTTTTCCTGAGATAAATTCTCGTTTTCCTGAGATAATTTTTCGTTTTCCTGAGATAATTCCCGTTTTCCTGAGATAAATTCTCGTTTTCCTGAGATAAATTCTCGTTTTCCTGAGATAATTTTTCGTTTTCCTGAGATAAATTCTCGTTTTCCTGAGATAATTTTTTGTTTTCCTGAGATAATTCCCGTTTTCCTGAGATAAATTCTCGTTTTCCTGAGATAATTTTTCGTTTTCCTGAGATAATTTTTCGTTTTCCTGAGATAAATTCTCGTTTTCCTGAGATAATTTTTCGTTTTCCTGAGATAAATTCTCGTTTTCCTGAGATAATTTTTCGTTTTCCTGAGATAATTCCCGTTTTCTTGAGATAAATTCTCGTTTTCCTGAGATAATTTCCGTTGTAAAATGAACAGTTAAAATGAATTGAAAAAATACAATTTTCTTCTAATTTTATAACGTTTTGGCATCTGAATGCCCCCCCCCCCCCCTGAGTACGATGTCATATATATTTACTGTAAATTGCGAGCGAGCGAAGAGCGCAATTAACAAATAAAAGACACTAGTCTTACTCGTACAAATTTAGGTACAATACCAATTTGGATGATAAATCTATCTTGATTCAAGAACACTTTATTAACAGACTGCCCGATTACAATAGGGGACAGCCCACGAGGCCGACGGCCGTCAGCCTAGGGCCTAAATCCAGTTTTAGGGGGGTATTCAGTTATTCACATCACCTTGTAGGTCTCAACATTCAATTGTCGAAATTCGATATATTTATGAAGATAATTATCAATTCCAAAAGGGCCTTAAAGGGGAAGGCCACCCTAAGAATATCTATATTTTAATAAAAGGAGACAAATAAGACAAAGTGATTAATAAAAGTTTGAGGAAAATCGGATATGAAATAAGAAAGCTATGAAATGTTCAAGTTTTAAACAAATTAAAATCGATCAAGAAAATCGGGAAATCTGTGACGTCACATGCGCCACTTATACAATAGAATGCAAAATAAAATATGAAAAATATGACATTTAAACTAAACAGAATATTTTATTTTGATGCACTCTTGATCATAATAATTGCAAATAATCTCTGTGTTTGACAGCTCGATTCCTTCATCAAAACTCCGCGAAAATTGAAATTCCTATATTCTTTTGTATTCTATTGTATAGGTGGTCGCATATAACCTCATAGATTTCCCGATTTTCTTGATCTTTTATAATTTGTTTAGAACTTGACCAACATAGCAACAACTAATGTATGCAATTTACATTCTCACTATTGAAATGCAGTTATTTGAACAATTATTGATTGAATAGTTTGTCACTACGCACTTAAAAAGATGTGTGCACTAAATTTGACTTCATTATGAAACTGGTCGATTGGGCAATGAGATGTCGATATATTCTCAGGTTAAAATAGATTTGTAAATTCCAATATACATGTAGCCTTCTTTATACATTTGTCTACGTTTTCACTAAGAAGCGTTGTCTTTTCCTCGCTCGTTTTGCGTACTTAATTTTTATATTGGCTTACATTTGCTCTTTCCTCTCATTTCTTTTTTTATGTTATTGTTTATCCTTGATTTGTTACTCTCTTTATTGTCCGTATGCTGTGTTTTTTAACAGTCTTCTGCACTCTGTTGGACCTCAATTTCCAATTCAATAATCTCAATTTCAATTTCATTTATATAATATGTGATCAACCAGATATGTGTCATAAGTCCGGATAATAGTTTCATTTTATTTTAAAGTTATTTAATATACATGTAATACTTTGATAGCATTTAATCAGGTAAAGAAAACCCCAGTATAAATACTGAACATGCTAGTTACATTATATTTCTATGGAGAGTCAATGCTATTATGTTATTGAAATTGTACATTTGTAATATGTTATTGAAATTGCAAATTTGTAATATGTTATCTATAATTTCTAGGTTGGCGTTACATATGCTCGTGCCTCGCCTTTCTTTATATTTTGATTGTTTATCCTTGATTTGTTACTGTCTTATTTGTCCTTATGCTATATTTTTACCAGTCTTCTGAGTGCATCAGTTGGTTGGGCGGAGGGACCTTCACGGTTACAGTAATTAAGTTTGCTCTCTTCTTCCCTGGCCGCCATCTTTTGCACTCAGAATATTGCTACAAAAATTTGTATTTGCACATTTTTTGTCATTCCAATTTTGTATTTACCATGTTTATATTGTTAAATTGTTATATTTCTTGAAAGTGCCGAATAAATAATACAATACAATACAATATATAACCACCACATTTTAATAAGATTTGCTATCCAAATAATAGGTATTTTCCCCATACTTTCACTAAAAAAGTTCCAACTTTTCTCACTCACTTGCACTATATACAACTGAAACCTAATTATGGGCAGCGAGATGTTGAATTGACAGCAAAAAAAATCAATCTAACTTCAAGTCAGAATTCAAGGCACATGTACCTCCCACTGTCCCCAACTCCATGCTTCTCATTCTAATTTGTTTTCATTTTATTAGATGAGCGTGATACCAGAATAACTGGCATCTTCCCCCTCTTCTTTCTTTCTTTTCGATTTTCGTTTTATCGGTATCTTTTCTCTTGTCCTTTGTGTACTTCTTTGCGTAAGTACCTCTGTTATACACTCTCCCTCGTATGTCTTCCTATCTATATAAAATTCTTTCTATTCTCCCGAATTATCAACTTTTTTCATTCACCATCACTTCCTTTTTTGTCTCTGTTCTTTAATTCTTCTCCTCTCCTTTTAATTTTCTCTCTCTCTCCAATTTCTTTGCTCTCACTTTCCATCAATCTTCTTATTTCCACTGGCCCTAATAACACTTTTCTTGTGAAAAAATGGAAGTCAATAAATACATGTAAACAATCCAAGAGAGTGGGTTTATTATTACATACAGTGGTAATGTGGCATAATCTCTGAACAAAGAAATGTTAGGTATCTCGATCCCTTTTGCACTTTAATCGGTAATTGTCAGTATACATTTAAAAACCATAAAGTTGAGTCAGCTGATATTGATGTTGTCTTCTAAAATGGAATTCATGCAAGTGTAAACTTTGGTATAGAAAAATACTGATCCGGAGGTAAAAAAAATAATAAGTGGTATACAGTGACTTTTTGCAAATATTTAAAGAATTGTCATTAAAAGTACTCGAGTGGTGATCACATCATAGAATATAATATGCAGTAAATGTATAGCTTTCTGCTCACTAATGAAATATCGTCAAGAAGAACATAAGTATGCAGAAGCTTTTGAAAAGCAAAGAAAATGAATTTTGGTGTTAAAGATGGACATAAGTAGGATCTAGGAAGCTAGCTTTCTGTTAACAAATAAAAACGAAGTATAGCCAAGAAAACATAAGTACACGGTGGTTTTCCGCTAATAGATGAAATTAAGTTTGGTAAAGAAAAATATTAGTATGCCTATGCAGTCACTTTCTGCTAACAAATAAAATGAATAGCGATCAAGAAAAACATAAGTACGCGGTGGCTTTCCGCTAACAAAAATGAATTTTGTTAAAGATGCACATAAGTAGGACCTAGTAAGTTAGCTTTCTGCTAACAAATAAAAACAAAGTATAGCCAAGACGAAAATGAAATTTGGTCAAGAAAAACATAAGTATGCCTATGCAGTCACTTTCTGCTAACAAAAAAAAGAGGTTTGGTCAAGAAAAGCCTAAGTACGCAATGGCTTTCTGCTAACAAATAAAATGAATTTTGTTCAAGAAAAACATAAATACGAGGTGGCTTTCCGCTAACAAAAATGAAGTTTGGCCGAGAGAAACATAAGTACGCAGTCACTTCCTGCTAACAAAAAAAAAGGAGGTTTGGTCTAGAAAGTACGCAGTGCCTTTCTGCTCACATATAAAATGAAGTATAGTTAAGAAAAGCATCAGTACCGCGGTGGCTTCCCGCTAACAAAAATGAATTTTGTTAAAGATGAACATATTAAAGTAGGACCTAGTAAGTTAGCTTTCTGCTAACAAATAAAAATGAAGTATAGCCCAGAAAAACATAAGTACACGGTGGTTTTCCGCCAATAAATGAAGTTTGGTCAAGAAAAACATAAATACGCAATGACTTTCTGCTAACCAATAAAATGAATAGCGATCAAGAAAAACATAAGTACGCAATGGATTTCTGCTAACAAATAAAATGAATAGCGGTCAAGAAAAACATAAGTACGCGGTGGCTTTCCACTAACAAAAATGAATGTTGTTAAAGATGAACATAAGTAGGACCTAGTAAGTTAGCTTTCTGCTAACAAACAAAAACGAAGTATAGCCAAGAAAAACATAAGTACACGGTGGCTTTCCGCTAACAAAAATGAAATTTGGTCAAGAAAAAAAAAAAATACGCGGTGGCTTTCCGCTCAAACAAAAAAGGAGGTTTGGTCATAGGAGATATTACAGTGACCTTGGTTTGGTCAAGAAAGTACGCAGTGGCGTTCTGCTCAAATATAAAATGAAGTATAGTTACGAAAAACATTAGAACCGCGGTGGCTTTCCGCTAAAAAAAAAAAAAAATGAAGTTAGGTCAAAAAGAACATAATCATTTGACACAGTGTATCAATGAACTTTGTTAAATAAGGAATAATTATTTTACAAAAACCATTCTGGACATTTCATCACCAAATGACAAACATTTTCTATGAATATATAGCTTCATAGCTTCAAATGTCTGACTGCATACGGTTTGCTATTATACTAACATTTGCACAGATTTAAAGGAAACCAATACCCAAGGAGAGAGTCAATCTTATAGGAAAGAGTAAAATGAGAGGAGCATTTAAAAAAAGTTTCATCAAAATCGGTTATAAAATAAGAGAGTTATGGAAGTTTGAAAAGTCTTGTTGTACTTTCTATGGGGATCCTCAAATTGACAACGCT